TGAAACGAGACGGATTTCTTCCGAAGCTCCTGTGAGGATTACGAGCAATCGTCCAGGAAGCTCTGCCAGATGAAATGAGGTCGTTGTCACGGTTTAACGCCATCAACACGACCGCTGCATCCAGCAGCTGTCAGTGTTTGTGTTGGAGGGCGAAGCGCTGAGACTTTAATAAGTCCTGTAAGAAGGGTGTTAACAGCAGATCAATCACTCGTGATGATGTGGAGGCAGCGCTGATATTAAAGTCCACCATTAGCTGTGAGCAGGCAGCTCTAATTACACAGGGTGGTAGCTTCATAACACTGATCAGACAGTCTAATGGAGGCATCCAGGGATGCAACCATCCCCTTTTTCCCAAACCGATACCGATACTTCTACCACACAAAAAAATGCAATGATTTTATTTTCTTCTCTGCTTTCACCAGGAGAGGACTGTGATTTAGATAAAAGGTAAAACATATGAATAAAAATCATCACAAAACTAAAATATTAGGTGAATAGAAATGACAAGTTACAGCGAAGCCATTTTCAAGCAGCTGCATTGGTATCGGTTAACTTTTACAGATCGGTATCAGCACCGACACCGATTCAAGTATCGGTGCATCCCTAGAGGCATCAGATCTATCCAGGCCAAAACTAGAAACTCCGTGGAAACCGTCGTTTCCACTTGAAAAAGATCTCTGACCGAGCTGTCGTTAGACGTGATCCTTCATATTTGCTCTCTTCTGAATCCCGAACTGCGTGATTTTCTGTCTTTCCAGCGATCAGGGTGGGCTAGTTAGGATTTGTCTACCCTGTGGCATCCCAGCTGGTGAGATGCATCGGCCTAGAGGAGGACAGAAGGGAGGGGAGAGCTCACTGAAGTCAAGTAAGCCTACATAAATCTGTTGGCTGTGGATTTTCTTCTCTGCGAGCAACAGTCTCTTGGGGCAGAGAGGATGAAGTTTGGTTCCTTGAGTGGGAGATCCAGGTTCCAGCTTTTGTCGGGGAGAGTAAGCTAGCATGTCTAATGAGCCTGTGAAGAGATGCTGCTGCTATGTGCTTGAACTGCCTGTTGTAAAACACACACACACACACACACACACACACACACACACACACGCACACACGCACACAGACACACACACACACACACACACATTAAAACACACACACACACAAAATAACACATTGTAACACACACACACACACACACACACACACACACACACACACACACACACACATTAAAACACACACACACAAAATAACACATTGTAACACACACACACACACACACACACACAAAATAACACATAACACACACACACACAAAATAACACATTATAACACACACACACACACACACAAAATAACACATAACACACACACACACACAAACAAAATAACACATTATAACACACACACACACACACACAAAATAACACATTATAACACACACACACACACACAAAATAACACATTATAACACACACACACACACACACACACACACAAAATAACACATTATAACACACACACACAAAATAACACATTATAACACACACACACACAATAACACATTATAACACACACACACAAAATAACACATTATAGCACACACACACACACACAAAATAACACATTATAACACACACACACACACACACACACACACAAAATAACACATTATAACACACACACACAAAATAACACATTATAACACACACACACACAATAACACATTATAACACACACACACAAAATAACACATTATAGCACACACACACACACACACAATAACACATTATAGCACACACACACACACACAAAATAACACATTATAACACACGCACACACACACACACACACACGCCTCGGTCTCTGGAAGTGTGATGGATCTGTCTGTCTATTAGGGGCGCCCCGATATATCGGGCCGATTTCTAGTCAGGCACATCCCCCGTTAGCCCTGCTGCAGAATTTAATTTAAATGTTTATTTACATTCCTGAACAACATCTTCATACAAATGCTCTAAAATCATTTTCCAACTAAAATTTATTTTTATTTGCCCATTTTGAATATTTAATAGTTGGTCAGTTCATTGGCTTGTTTGATTAACTTTAGCCCCTCATACTGATCCTTGCCTCTGAATTAGGGCTGGGCGATAAATAAAAAATTTATTGTTATCGAAATTTCTGAGTCTTATTGAGATAATTTTCCCCATGTCAATAAATTTGATTATTAAAAATTGAAAATCTGTGTGAAGGGTTGGCAACATTCATGTCCCTGTAGGTAATACACGTGACAGCCCCATCTAGTGGACAACTTTGGTTTCTGCCTGTAGTTATCGTCCATTTATCGTTAACGAGGTGAAATCCTCAATATATCATGATATCGATTTTAGGCCACATCGCCCAGCCCTACTCTGAATATCCAGACTCGTCCTGAGTAAAACAAGTCTGGCAGGTCAGGCTAGAAATATTCAACATCAACTGATGTTTATTATTAATGACCTTTTAGCATGAAAGTACTGTGGAAAAAATCAGCAGCACATATCGGTGATATGCAGTGTGTGTGTGTGTGATAGCCCTATGTCCTATATCTTTTAAATAAATAGATAAATATCTATAAACAGAAAGAGCAAAATAAATACTAACATATGATAGATAGATAGATAGATAGATAGATAGACAGGGTCCTGCTGACCCCCCAAGGCTCTGCGCAGTCAGTAAGAGAGATTAGGACTTCATCTTTCTTCCCCCCTCTGTTCACATCCATCATCAATCACGCAAATGCAACTCCACGGACATGCGTGATGGTGATGTCTGAATCAAGACTGTCATGCGGACCATTAATTACAGATCGCAGAACCCCCTGCCTGACCTGGGTCTCTTTCTGCCGCGGCGGATAAATATTTATGACTTTAGAAATTTACACGCTTAATTTAAATATGTGCACGTAGTAATACAGATCTACCTTCCATAAGGGCTTTTGCTTTCGAGGTAAGTATTGTGAAGTGGACTGCAGAATAACCGAGATGGAGCTTCACTCACCGTGTACCAGCGCCGAAGCAGCGTGGGTTAGCGGGAACGGGCAGCGCTGCTCCGGGGAGAGTAAAGCACTTCAGCCGTTACCGGTCAAGGTGTGCTGGAAAGTGGAAACACCGACGAGGCAGCCGGAAAAGGCGGGCTTCCCCTCTCGGTAGTCCAGTTCCAGCAGCGGAGGAGCTTCATTTACATGCAGCTCTCGCTGCTCCACTCCTCCAGCGCCACGATCGCAGCGACTGGTTGGACCTGGACGAATGACAGCGAGCGGAGCGGCCGCTACAGGCGCGGAGGACGTGGTTTCCACACGGACGACTTACGGAGACGCACCAGCGGAGTCAGCTTCCTCCTGCTGTCCTCTAATTATGATGTGTCGGGAATATCATCAACATTAGTTAGATCAGAAGTGACGGGATTAAACAGGTTTACTGCTGTGTGCAGCTAAATCTGAAGTTTACAGAATCAGAAAAGGTTTTTACAACTAACTTTATTATTTAGGTGTACTGTAGGAAGCTGCATGAATGATCTTTTGTCCTACAAGATTGATATGCTAACAACTAGGCCGTGCTGAGCCCTGTCCCTTAAAACTACTACAAAATTTAAAGGGACAATTTGCAAATTTTCATATATTTAAATACTTTTCTTGAGCCAGTATGTGCTACAATGACCCTTTACAGCAGGGGTGGGGAAACCTGGTCCATCAAGGGCCGGTATCCAGCATATTTTAGTTTCAACCCTGCTTCAACACACCTGATTTCAATCAGCAGGTGATCAACAGGCTTCTCCAGAGCGTGATGAGCTGCTGAACTGGTGAACCAACCACTGAATCAGAAGTGTTGGAGCAAAGACATGCAGGATGCAGGCCTTCAAGGACCAGGGTTCCCCACGCCTGCTTTACAGGCGTAACGAAAGGCCACCCAGCGCCTATCGCCTCCTGTGGCTGGAATATCGCACTTGAAACTTCACAGTTGCCGGTCCGGTCTGCTGGGACTTGTTTAATTCGGGCTGCGTGGGGCACAGTTGTTAGCCCTGCTGCCTCGCAGCAAGAAGGTTGCAGGTTCGAAACCCAGATGCGGCCTTTCTGCGTGGAGTTGCATAATCTCCCCCACACATCACAACATGCCCTACAGGTTAACAATTGTTTGTTGCTTTGGATAAAAGCATCTGCCAAATAAATAAACAAAAACATAATTTATTGATGAATAACTCTTCTAGACTCTTAGGAACACTGGGAGACGTTTCGGCTGTTAGATTAAGGTGTTAAAAGACGAACGCGCAGCAAGGAGATAGTTTTGCTTCTACAAACGGACACTAGGGGGTGCTAAAAGCAAGCAGAACTGCTTAGTATCCCTTTAAAGGTGCAGCATGTAGGAATAAAGTAGGATGGCACCCTGTGGTCAAATTTGGTTACTGCAATCACTCTCACTCTGTTGCCAGTTAGAGCAGAAACAGAAGATTCTAGATAACAAGCAAAGACGAGTCATACACAGTAAGCTGATAAGTACATGAGTAGATCGTTGTAACTGGGTTCTAGTACTCTTGGGTATTTTACAAGAAGGAAGCGCTTACTACACTTATTACAGTAATATGCCTCCGACATTACCGTCTTGTGTGTGTAGCATGTGTTGTGTGTGTATGCCACGGTTGAAGGAAAGAAACGATGTATAAAAAACGTACACATTCTGTAACTTACTAGAGTGAAAATAATTGGGAGGTGATTTTTGTTCGCATTTCAGCTGTGAGCCGACGAAACCTTATGTTAGATACTTGGTCTTGTGCCTCCAAGCAAGAAAACGGTGAAAAGTTAGCTTGTTTACCACCTTTTTTCTCCTGGCCATCATGTGTTACACCCCACAACACAGCAACAATTAACCATGATGTAGTATAACAGATCAAATTAATAATAAATTAATTTAAGCCACAACGAGACTGAGCGCGCTGTTTACTGTAGTAATAAGCAACAAGTAAGGACTCGCCTGTGTCAGTGATGACGTCATGATCACAAGCCCTATTCACCGTTATCATTGTTAGATCAACATTAGCCTCTAGCCAATAGAGCTCCGGGAGTTGACGTCACTTCTCCCGGCATGCAACAGTTCAAATCGAACAGCGCCATCTTGGCAGGCAGTAGCCCGCAGCTAGGCTATTTGTTATTGTCAGAAAACTCAAATGGGAAATATGGTAGATTCCTGTTGTGCTCCAGGTTGCAGAACAGATGAGGACGAGATAAGGGAAGAGCCTTCTACAGGATTCCCCAAGATCCGGAGCGCCGCAAACGTTGGATCATTGTAATAAAACGCACTAGTGACCGGGCTAAAATGAAGCTGTGGGACCCCGAGAGTAAAGGCTTTCGCTTATGCAGCGACCGCTTCATATCAGGTACTTAAACCAACGTTTCCTCAACTGTTTATGGTGTTTATTTTGAATGCATTCATTACGATTCTTAGTGGGCTGCCTAAACTTATTTTGGCGTGGCTTTTTCTGTCTTATTACAAACAGCAACAAGTAAACGTCACGTAAAACGTTGCCTCGTGAGTTCTGCGTGCTGCCGTTTACGTGTTTTATGATCACAGCAATTATCTGGCTAAGCTGTATTTCATTTTTAAGCAAAAATATTGGAATAGCTAAGCACTTACCCTCCTGGTGACAACAGTGCTGTCCTTTGCAGGAAGAATCCAGACCTGGATACCGACAACAAACCCTGATTGAGGATCCATCCAGGCTTTTATTTGCTCTTAGCGATGCTCCGGAATAGGACGAGGGAAAATTAACAAGGAAATGATAAATGTCAGTGTATCTCAAATCCGGTAAGAGGTCCACTCCGACAGCGTCTGGCATTTAAAAAAGTATCCCAGGGTCACGGTAAGGGTCGGAGATGTTTAGTCTATTTAATTTCTGACTATATAAAACAATTTCTTCGGTTTTAAAGTGTGAAGTAAACTCCGACGAAGTAAAATCCAAGCCGATCCCGTTCATTTTGTTTACATTTGTTGCCTGCCAACATGGCGTCTACTCTCTGAGAGCCACGTGACGTTTGGAGCTCTATTGGTGCGCCCAACTAATTCAGAACCACCGGGCGAGCCATTAGATCATCAATCCTGTAGGATACAAACTATTTTATAACTTAGACACAACACACTTCAGAATGGAAGTTTCCCTTTAGTAAAAGTACTTTATTGTCTTCACCGATCACCCAAAGTACCAGATGTAAACACAAAAAGTATCTGTCTGAGACAAAGGCCACCAAGGATGCTTTAACTCATCACCGACATCCCATAGTCTCTCAGGACCACCGCCAACAGCTGCTTCAGCAAAGACTTTCTCCCCTCAAAGTCAAACACACTTTTCTCCGTCTTCAGCTGAACCCAACAGAGATCTGTGATGCTGTAACACAATATGTAAGAACAGAAACAACAAGAACATGGGAATGAAGGAGCTGTAAGTGAAGAACCATGGAAGAGAACGGTCTGTCTCGTGTTTTCAGAGTGAGGTCAGACCGATGGACACGTCTCCAACACATCTGAAGACAAGAGTTAAGGAGTGATAAAGCAAAGTGACCAGATTTATAGTGAGGTTTTATGCACAATTGCATAATGCTATGTTACTTAACTGTAGCTTTAATGGCCAAGTTAACTGAGAAACCATTTTTTTATTTGTTGTTCTAGAAATACGATCTGAGTTTCACATGCAGGGTGAACATGAAAACAATCTTCTACCACTAATTCCTGCTTTAGCTGCTGATAGACGAGGAAATGCTCGGACTAGAAAAGTCTGACATTTGCGTGTCATAAAGTAACAGTAGTATTCATGGACTTGCCCATCTTGGCTCAAAATGGGGAAGGATGTTGTTGGTTTAGCATCCAGGAGAGAGCTGAGCACGTCCAGGCTAGTAGAAGCTAACTGTTAGCATTAGCAACTCCACCAAAAGGCAGAACTCCACCAGGCTTGTGTTATTTGTGGAGATAAAACATCAACGTTGCAGAACAAACAGAGTTGGTGGTAGAGTCGTGTTGCTGTTAGCCAATCAGAGGAGAGATTTCTGAACAATGAATAAGACTCCACAACCTGAACTCTTCTACTCACCTCTAAACGAGCTCACTTCTACTTCCTGAAACACAAGCGCCAGACCTTTTTTTCCTAGAGGTCAACTCACAAGGCATTAATTTATACTAGAGACCATTGCACATAAAAAAAAAAACAAGAGAACTTGGTCTTTAATCACAGCTGATAGTCTTCCACTGATTTGACTTATTTTGCCTTTTAATACAGTCACCACCAACACCAGTGTAAAGGAGAACACACTGATAAGTCTACTGGAGAGAAGAAAGAATATAACTTTGTATATTAGGAAGAGTTAGTCACCCCTGATGTCTGAGGTCTCGTTTGGCTGCACTTTAAAATGTGTTCAGGTCATGTGTGCTCATGAACAGCACGACAGTAGCGGTTACCTGTAGATACTTGCATGGAGAGAGCTGTGCTTCCTCTGTGTGTCTATTACAGGCATTATTTTATACCGTGTGCTCAGAAATGAGTATGTGTGTTTCACGTCACGTAGTGGATACAAGATGTTGGTGGACCGACTGGTGTTGCAGCTCTCAGCTGACATCTGCGATCCGAGCGCCTCCCTCATTTCTCTCACTCTCAGCTTGTGCTCCTCAGTGGGAAGTGAAACGCTGCCCTGAATCTGAGAGAACAAACATCTTCACTGTCTCAAATAAAAAGGGAAGTAAAACCAGTAAATACCCAGAACCTGAGTTAAGAAAAGAAAAGCTCAAATATAATGAATACTGAGATAGAAAGAGAAAAGCTAAAGTCACGGTTATTAAATTTGGTTTGTGCTGTTGTCTATCAGCTGATGTACAGATGAAGCTGGAAAAATTTGAATATTGTCCAAAAGCTCATATATGTCAGTGATCACACCCAAAGGGTTGTAGCGTCCAGAAATGGTCAGTTTTTCATCTATATGTTGGCCTTTTCAGTGACAGGCCATCTTCAAACATTAATCTGCCTCTGTGCGTCTTCTAATCTTCTGAGCTGCAAGAAAGATTCCACAGCGCGTACACTTAAGATTGTCAACATCGTGTTCCTTCCTCAAGGACTCTGCCGAGCTGCAGCTTATCTATTCCTTGCTTCACAGAACAAAAGATGAACTTCTATAATGAAATCATATAATGAAATGAACAATATGGTTAATGAAATTGGATAATGAATGGACACGGTGTTAAATGAAATGTTTTGATTAATCTGTGCTTAAATGAATAAGGATGAAATGAATGTGTTCTTGCAGTGATCCATTTATTTTAATCAGTGTACGTGACTGGACAAGCTCACACACTCACCGTATCTCCATGACACAAGGATAAAGTAATTGTATGCACATAGAGATTTTCTTATCCACAAATCAGAGCATTTTCGTATCTGAAGAAGGTGTGTGTTCTGAGGTTTGTTTGTTAACACCTTAATATGGCACGTCCTGGTTGGCCATGTAATCATAATATGGGAATAATTAAAACAGAAATCACTTCCTGAGTGATTCAGTTTCGAGTAGACCTTCGGAGTGGCAAATCCGGAGGAACTCTTTCAACCATCAAAGCTTTCGACAAGCCGTCAAAGCTGCCTGCAGCGACACAGCAACTTGCTCCTTCAGCTGTTCAGAAACAGCTATTCTAGACGCAAACAATGTCATCTGTCGGTCGTGACTCGGAGGCATCTCAGGACTGATTTGGTCGCATCGAGGTTTTCCTACGAGCCACGTGCATTGGGGTCACCCGACTCCTCGACATCTCGGATCCAAACGGGGGTCTCCAAGAAACGGGTACGTAGGCACAACATAAATGGCGTCTGACGCTGTTTTGATAAAATCAATTCTTTAGCTTATAACACCCACAAATTCTTTTATGCCCAGAATTCAACATTTCTTTCAGATACAAAGGTTCTGGTAAACATCTATTCTACACTATATCCCTTCACACATCACATTTCATCACCAACATACACTCCAGCACACATCATTCTTTCATAGTTGTCATGTCTTATAATTTGTTTAGAAAATAAATTTCTTACTTTTTATAAACTTGACTTTGAATTAATACGAAGTGTACTTACGGCCCCTGAATAAACAAAGAATCCTAATTCTTCAGGTGAAATCTTCGAAGACCAATCAGGTTGGATTTCCATATTTATATAGAAATTTACATCTTATTGGTCGTAAGTAGTATAGTAGATTGAGCTTAAAAAGCACACATAGTATCCACTACATGGTGAAAACTAATCTATGAGACAGAGCCATTCCATGCAAATCCAAATATTTCAGCCTTTATTTCTTATAATTGTGATGATTCTGGCTAACAGCTGATCAAAATCTCAATTAGAAATTTGTGAAAAAGTTTAATATTCTAGGCTCAAACTGTCGCACTTTGATCAGATAAGAAGTTGCATCATTTCTGCTGCACAGGAAAAATGGTTCCCCACATTTACCACTGGTGTCTTTAACTAGGAATGACTGAGATGAGACGGACGCATTATAGTCAACCGTGGTCGTTTACAAGATGACTTTGCTGGTCAGCATTTTGTGGACGAGTTGGTTTTATTGTTTGCTGGGACTTGCATTAGTAGAATTTCCCCATAGAAGTATTTGTAAAAGGAAGATTTTAAATCACCTGCTTGTGTTGACATGCCACAATCAACAAGGGGTTACAGGCTGCAAGACTAACATCGGATATCTACTGGATGTGCAAGCAGAGCGTCATGTAGATGAGTTTTGCCAGTGAGAGAAAGATGGAAGCCTGTATCAAAAAAGGTCTGTGGTTTACTTTCTGTTCTGTTTACCGCGGCTACGGAGTTTTCACAGGTAATGACATACTCGTTTTTCTAGTTAAAGGTGTGGAACTCTGAAAAACCACATTTTAATGATTATTTCTGATTCTAACGGGTCACTCTGAGTTTTTCATTCAGGCTGAACATGAAAATAGTCTCCTACACCTGTCTCCTGCATTAGCTTCTCAGAGTTTCCCCCAGAAAATGAGTAAAGCCTGGCGGCTTCGGCCGCTGGGGTGGAGGTGGTGGTGTCGCGCGCTCTGTGCCTCAGCGCTCCTCCGTGAGTGTGTGTGTGTGTGTGTGTGTGGGGGGGGGGGGGGTGCACACGTTCTGCTGCTGTTTCTCACCAGTATCAGCTGATGGATGGTTCTAGTTTTGTTGCACCGTTCGTGTCAGCGAACACAGTAGGGTCGGGGAGGGGGGCGGGGCATGACGCTTAGGCTGGCAGGTGGGCAAGTAAAGCCTGGAGGCCCGCCAGGCTTATAAAGCGCTGGGGGAGACCCTGGCTTCTGATAGGAAACAGACGGTGAAACTCTAGGATTAGAAAAGCCTGACAGATCTACGTCACACTGTCACTAACATCCATGGACTCACCCATCTTGACTCACGACTGTTGTTGGTTTAGCGTCCAGGAAACAGCAGAGAACGTCTCTGCTAGTAGAAGCTAACCGTTAGCATTAGCAACTCCACCACACAGCAGAACTCCTCCAGGCTTGTGTTATTTGTGGAGATAAAACATCAACGTTGCAGAGCAACTAGAGTCAGTGGTGTTGCTGTTAGCCAATCAGAGGAGAGATGTCCAAATATCAGGACATAAGACTGCATAACACGTTGTCTGAAGCTCAGCTGTAAAGTATGGCACGGTATGGGGGCCAAAATTAAGACTACTGCCCAGCAGCAGGAGGCTATATGAATTCTGAAGCAAACTACGGACCTGATTAATGATAAGCTGGCGCCGGTAACTGAGAGGCTGGCGCTGCTTACTGAGGAATAGCACCTTTACCGGCGTTACTACTAGATAAGCTAGGGACTAGCAGCCCTCGGCTGGTCATTGACTGGTTCACACACTCCCTCTGATGTCTATTAGCATGGATAGGCTAGCGTTAGCCTGGACGGGCTGGTGTTAGCATTGGAGAGGCTAGCCATTAGCGTGCCTAGGCTGGCCACTAGCTGGATTTCCTACCCCCTTGACAGACCATTAGCATGGATAGGCTGGCGTTAGCGTCAGAGAGGTTAGCCATTAGCGTGCTTAGGCTGGCTACTAGCTGACTAGTGATGGTCAGGTTTCCTCGCGGGGTCACCCATAAAGACAGTGGGAGGGTCAAGGGTCCGGTGGAAAGGCCCCATAGATATGAGGACCACAGATGGCCCATGAGCCTCACCTAAGACACCACAGGGTAAGAAAATGTGTAGGTCAATTTAGTCTGTTTACAACATTTCTCATTAAGTACTTAATGCATTTTAATGTTAGGATATAATAACTAATAAATCTGATGCAAAAAGGCTATAATTTAGTCAGTTTGAGACATAATGAGTTACAATTTCCTGTTAGTAGCTAAGCATAATTTACAATTTGTACTTTACATGCTAAAATACTGCATCTTGCATTACTGAGTAGGACAAATGTTATTTTTTTTAAATTTGACCAAAACAGCTTTGGGTTACCTCCCATTGTTAGAACTGGTTTTTGTTGGTTATGATGGGGAAGTCTGAAGTGACAATACTTCCGTTTAGAAGTTTCCACAACACCTTTGCCATTTTACAGCATAACAAATTAACACAACAATGTAAACTTAATATCTTATTATAAGAATAACAGAATTAAAACTTTAAGCAGTTTTTATGTGACAGACCTCAAATGAGTTGAGAAAAACAGAATAAAGTTCTTTAAAGAATTTTAGCAAAGACACAGACATTAAATGTAGAGAACAATCTGGAGCAAAAATGGAGGAAAAATAAAGACAAATGAATGAAAAAGAAGTGATGGTGATGTGAGAGACTTCATAAAAGGTCAGCGTAAGAAGTATCAGCTTTGCCCGCGACTATTTTCAACAACACTGGTTTGTATGGAGAGTGACTGGAAGCCAAGTGTGTGAGACTGTAGATGTTAAGACTGAAAACAGCTGAGAGCTGCACATGCAAATGTCACTTGCAGATACAAATAATGTGCATATTCATACTTAGCGTATTTGTACACAAACACTTGAGGAAACGAGAAGCAAAAACACTCACATGACACAACGTGACATCATTGATGTTCACACACAACAGGTGAGGTTTGTTTGTGTGTGTGTGTGTGTGTGTGTGTGTGCATCAGACAGAGGAGCTGATAGTGAAAAAATAATGTTTACACAAGAAAGTCAGATCGATTAAACCCAGCCTCATTTCAACTCTTTGTATTTATTAACACACACACACACACACACACACACACACACACACACACACACACACACACACACACACACACACACACACACACACACACACACACACACACACACACACACACACACACACACACACACACAAGCCGGCTGACACATTTTCCTGCTCTGGGAGCTGCGGTGTGTGCCATCACGCCATCATCCTGTCGCTCCCCTGACTCGGAGCTCTTTACTGAATACTAAATGTAGATCTGGTCCCGTCGACAGTGCCAGATCCAATCTAATCAATCTGATCCGGATGCTGTTCCATCTGTGTTTTCTCACATCTTAAAGCAATCACAGAGACGATGGCAGAGATGTGGTTTGAACGGCATGTTTTAGGGGGAGTAACTGGTGTGATTTTGGTTATGACAATCACCGTGTAGGAAATGTCTGCATCATAATTTACAAGGAAATATTAGTTACCTTTCATTTGTAATGGACTACTTTTCTTTGTGTATTTATTTTCTCCTAACTGTGTAATTTAGCAGCAGCACTTTTAAGCCTGAAGCTACCACAAGGATTACTGGAATATGATTTATCTTAGCAGGAAGTAACTGCTGCACAAAAATCTTCAAAAGCAGTAAAAATATTCCTGAGAGACAAAGAGACATTTTTCACGACTTAAAGCTTTAGACTGGTATTATTTCAAAGATTAAAACAAATAATAAGAAAAGAACGAGACTTTTAAACAAGTTCACCATCTTTCTGACGACATGATGGTAACTGCTGTAAAAATACAACGCTGAACTGAATGCTTGATTTATTTTCATACGGACTCATTAAACCTGCAGACGTGTGTGACCACTAGACGTCTCATTGGCCGTGACTTTATTCTGTAATGAGACATTTTTACCTGTGTGAGCAGCAGCTCCAGAGCACGTGCTGCCTCGAGGCTGAGCTCCTTCACCCCCCTCATCTCCACTGTCTCCATCACATGGAGCAGGTGTGGCTCCCAGCGCACCGCTGTGCTGCTGTGCCTCAGCAGCTGCACACAAACAAACTTATTATTACAAACTATATATTTAGTCGTTACATATGGCTACACGTGCCTTGCAACAGTATTCACACCCCTTGAACGCCACAGTTTTCAGAATTGAATTTGTTTCAAATTTTTGTTTTATCCACTTCACAATTAGATGATACTTAGTTTTAATCTATCTCAGTAAAAACATGTAAGTGTGTGGTTGTAATGTGTCAAAATGTGTAAAAGTGAAATGAGTACGAGTACTTTTGCAAGCCACTTATAGAAGTGTGCACAAGGTGGTAACGATGATGCCATCAAAAAAGTCACAAGAAGGTTTTTATTCATTCAGATGTCTTCAGACAGCAGGTATTAAATAGCCTAGAGAACTAGACCAAATTCTTGCTTTGCAAAGTTTGGTCTAGGAACGCTCCTTTGTGACCTCCGCAGCCCCTAGCAGCATTCTGGCTGGCCAATCACAGCTCTCTATAGGGGTTTCAATCCTATTGAGCGCTATGATTGGTCCACAAT